TCAAGCCCTCTCCCGAGCGGGCTGATGCGAAGGTGATGCTAGATAAGGTCTTATGACGGGTGTCTCTAGCACGCATTAACGAATCATTGACATCCCTCGAATTCTGCATAAACCATACTTAAGGCTTGGATTTCCTGGTACGGAGTGCAAGATGCGTCTTCTGATCAAGGCCGTCTATTTGTTACGGAATTCATACCTATTCTAACGCCTCAAGAGGACATGATCGCGGATTTCGGACCCCACAAGGAAGAGAGCACAGGCGAACTTTTGATGTAATCACTCTGACCCCGTCATGTATGATCTGGAACACCTCATCGGAATGTCGAACAGGACGCAAAAGAAAGAAAAAAGAAAATAAGGCTTCAGGCTGTGGGGCCAGTGGCCCGGGGAGCGGATATGTATAAAGCCCTACAATTATAGCGAAATAAAACGGGTATGTACTGAGCATACTGAGCTTGGACGTGGCATTGTTTTGTTTCTCTGCTATGGAATATGCAGAGGCGGGCCCAGAGAACTGGCCAACATTTGTGTCAGTTAGACTCCCTATCACTCACGGTAGGCTACCTACCTACATATATCGACCGCCGTAGTCCGTATGGACCACCTTCTCCCTCTGATGTAGGTGGAAAGAACGACAAATCTACTTTTCCTAGATCTGTTATGATGCGGCTTGTTAGGTACAAAAAGGGAACACAATAAATTTGCTGGTATGACCGATCATTACCCTTTACAGCGGCATCGGTTCTTGCCCCGCGTCACCCCGACACCTCCCCATCATCAGATAGAAGCGGCGGGCGTCATCAGTTGACGTCCGTGGATCCGAATCAAAATAAAGTTGCATTTTCCGCTCCGTTAACATTTCAGGGGACCGAAGTCTTGTTTCGAACTGTCTAAGACATGGTGGAGCCACGACCAGGATCGGGGCTGTTGACCGGAAACACGAGTGACAGGCCGGACAATCATTAACTTTTTTACTTTTTAATTTTTTTCATCTTCTCCGTTAAATCCGATCAAGCGTTTTGTTTTTCGGACCCCCACCCCATTTCAATGAGATCGGTCTTACTCTAATAGTGAACCCTAGCCAGCTAGCCGCAACACAACACAGCACAACATCGGAACCTCACCACGTATCTGAACTCAATCCCTTTCTCGGTGATTGAGCCTTTCAGATCTGGCAGCGCTCGGCAAGGCTGGAAATGAAAACTCGGGGAAAACTTCGGCCGTTTTCTTTCCTCCGGCAGTTGGCAAATATAAAACATACAGCTTGGATGAACATAGGATCGTGCGGTACCCAATTGAGTCGTGATAGCCGTGGTTTAGAGGGAGTATTCCAAATAAGGTATGGCTGGCGTGATTCAAATCTCGCCTACCTCCTAAATCCAACAAAAGGCTGTACCAAGAGTTATATAAAGGGATTCTATTGGACTACCGGTTGTCATCATCAGATATCACTCGAAGCGATTGGTTTGCGATTCGTATGATCCTATGGTGGAGATAAATGGCTGATGCAACTTCGGAAAGTTTTGAAACTTCGGTGCTCTACGCGTGTAAAGCCATTTCATGATACCAGACATCAATTGCGTCCGAGGCGATTTATGGTTTATACAACGTCGTCATGCATGTCTTTGCCACAGGATTATCACTTGTTTTCTCGTGACAATAGGTGACCAGTGATAAAAACCCCTCATTACAAGAGGTAGGTAATATGAGACCGCCAGATCTCAGTGAAGAGTTTATATCTACATACTCTGCTCTACAATTTTGAGTCATGCATAGATTTGACCTCTTTGACTTTGTATAGTGAGACACACATACTCGTGCATGAACCCCAAGCTTTTACGTACCAGCATAGCGAATAAGCGCTCTAGGGTACTCCTCCGACACCCCAGAGTAGAAGAAAGGAGTTGCGGGGCTCGAGTCTTGGTCCCTGCATGTGTACAGGTGACTCGGATAGATAATCCATTGATTGTCACGATCTTGTATCTCAGAGACTTCGGACTTCGTGGCCCGATCTTAAGCTTGATACTGTTGAGTATCGGATCTGGTATAATTTTTACAGGTGGATCATAGAGAGATTATTTATGATCAGAGTCAATTACATGTGTTGGGATGAGTGACAGATTATGTCGCAACCTCGTAGCGTCACTAACTCTCACTCGGCAGCCGCCACCACCATCCACTTTTTGGTGGTCCACAACACAACTCCAATAGCGAAGCAGAGCTAGATGACTGTTACAGGGATTTTTACCTAGAGAGAGAGCCTTTAAGAACAGTACCCAGTGGATATCTTCGAACCCTAACCCGAATTGCGGCTCAACAGCATTCGACAAGGATGACGCCATCCCATCTCAGTAATCCGAGACCTCTTCCACAACACATCTTTGCAGTTAACCCCTAGATACCTTCCCACATATCAGTAATAAATCATGACGCTCACCCTTGAGATCGCCTCTTCAATCATCTTTCCACAGCCCATCGCCCACGGCGGCGCTGTTACAATCGACATTACCCCCCCATCACCCACTGGCCTCACTCCCACTCCCGCCCCAGCGCCGCCCCTCGCTACAGGCCCCGAGAATCCTCTTTACAGGCTCCCACAGTCGCTTTCCTCTGGCGGACTCAAGGTTCACCTCAATGCGTTCGTGAAACCACGTGTCAAAGAGACCCCCGAGGGACAAGCTTCATCGGAGCTCACCCGCGACTCTCGGACCAGCATCCTGGATAGGGACCACATATTGTATGAGATTACAAAGACCCCCGTGGGTGCGGACTATAATCTCACGTGCTTCCGCCACGGGAAGCACTCGGGTGGGTATGGGTACGGGACCATGGAGTTCAAGGCGGGATGGTTCTCGGGCGGGACATGGACAGTGAACTTTATGACCAAGGCGCCTGGGAAGCTTGTGGAGCATCGGATCCGCATGTCGGTTGATGAGGGCGGCAAAGATGATGGTGTCTGGAAGATGTGGGAGCCAGTTGAAAAGATTGTGGCTAGGGAGAACGCAGTGTCCCCGGACAGCTATGGTGAGAATGGTAGGGCGGTGGAGATCTACGATGATCAGGTTGCGGGAGCTGCGGGCATGCCAGAGGTCGAGTGGAGGGACTTTTTGACGGCTTGCTGGATCACAAAGGTGTGGAGAGAGGCGACGAGAGCGCCTATGATGGCGAGTAGTGCGAGGAAGGGAGAGACTGGGGCATTGGGAAGGTGGTAGATAGTAATAATTGAGCGAATACTGTGATATCAGGGTGTGATATTGGGGCCTGATATCTGTGTTTGAGCTAACTATAATTCTAAGAAGCTCTTTAGTAAATGTAGTAGGCAGTGCTACACTATACATGTAGTGTCTATCATAATTCATCTCGTTTTTGCCTCTATCTAATCCAATCACGTGACGCGCACGCGTCAAGCAAGCACTTTACGCGACTCTGAGATGCCAGTTCCCTTTGTATTCTAATCTCCTTCTTTGGGATGTCCTCTGTCTTAGCCTGGAACGACATGAATTGTGAAAATGGCCATTCCATTCACTTACCCGTAGGTTGCACATAGTTACTGTCTCAGAGCATCGCCTCCCAGTCTACCTGTCAGTGAGTAAACGCGCCCTCACGACAACCACCTTGTGCCGACTCCAACCACCCCCCCCCCCGCGGGTCCTCGGCACGCACCATGAACATACCCGGCGTGACGACTGCGCCCAGAGAGGGATCGGACAAAGAGAACGACACGATGAGCTCCTTCAACACAATAGACAGCTGTGCACCACAGCGGAGAGCAAGGAAAAAGAGGAAAACAGCGCTCGTGGAGCCTATGGGGAAGCGGAGGAGAGGTGTAATGGACTCGATTCAGTACCTGTCGCAGGACAAAGAGGCAGAGGGGAACTCGCCATGCGCATCCACTGTGAACTCAACTATCAATTCGTCGTATAGGCTTCCGTCGCCATTGCCCGAAGTCGAGGAGACTCTGAAGGAGGAAATAGACGATTGTGGGCAGGGAACAGAAGAAGGTGATGGGCGACTGGAACGGCTGCAGGAGCTTGATGAAGAGCTGCAGGAGGAACTGTATCTCCGCCCCGATACACTCATAGCAGACTACCGCATCCTCCGCATCCTCGGCCATGGGAACTTCAGCACTACCTACCTCGCAGAGATCACTCCAACTGAGCCCGAACCACCAGATAACCCCCGACCACTCGTCGCCATAAAGCGCATGAAGCAGACTCTAAGCTCCATAGGCGAGAACGAATACTCGTTACTAGAGTTCCTGCATAGCAATGGAGAATCACCGCGGCATGTGATATCTCCAATTACTTCCTTTTTTGACGAATCACATCATTTCCACTTAGTGATCGAACCTCTTGACTCCGGGCGGCCTGTAGCGTTGCCGCTATGTGGATGCGGGCATCCGCAATTGGCATGTCCGGGGCGTCACTTGGTGCTTGCAAAAATAATGTTACAGCTACTATCAGGCCTGTTATCGCTACACACACACAACCTAATACATGCAGATCTGACACCTGCGAATATATTGTTCTTGCCGGAATCGAATCGGATAAAGCTCATTGATCTGGGTAATACAATCAGACCGGAAGATCGAGCGGCATATCTCGATGATTTTGGGGTACAGAGCGCATGCTATCGGGCACCGGAAATACTACTGGGTGCCGGGCCATTGAGTAGGGTTATGGATGTATGGAGCGCTGGGGTCATTGCAGTGGAGATGCTGCTTGACGGAATTGTAGTCGGGAATGGGATAGAGGGCGGAGAGCTTTTAAGAGGGGTAATAGAAGGGAGGGGGAGTATGGTGGAGAGAGTGGTAGAGCTGGTCGGGAGTGTGAGGGAGTATCAGCATGGAATGTACTGGCAGGATATATATAGCGATATTTCGCTACATCCTGCCAAGAAGAAGCGTGGGCCGGGGAACCGTAAAAGGAGACCCGAGGAAAAGACCGGAATGTTGAAACAGTTTCTAGAGACCGAGACTGAAGATTCTGGGTTGGTAAAGTTCCTGATGGCAATGATGGAAGTAGGGGTTAGTCGACGAGGCACGGTAATGTCCATGCTAAGACACCCGTGGCTTATCAGGACGCTACTAGGCGATTGGGAGCGTGTATTGACAGGAGAAATGGAGGAGGTAGAGAGTATACAAGACCAGTCCGAGGTTGTGGCCCTCCAGGAAGAACAAGGGGAGGAAGAAGACACAGAAGAAGACCTCCCTCTACCCGGCCAGATGAACATGGACGGGCGACTGAAAGAGTATGTAGGCGATTTCTTTGCTATAGGCAGCCAGACAGGTAGAGAACCTTTAGACGCAACGGAACAGTCGACAGATGTGTTGGAAGAAAACTTGGAGCATCCATTGTCTTCACCATCTGTGGAGCGTTCTATCACACCTTTCTACTCTTCGCCGCCGATGCAGGCTTTACCAGTGACTCCTCCTCCTCCGTCTTTGTCGCAGTCTGTACAGGACCTATCTTTCAAATCCTCTCCACCATTACAGGCCCTGCCAGTCACCCCCCCTTCTCGGCCCTTACCAGCCTCTCCACCTCCCCCACCTTTACCAGATGCCATACGGAATACACCTCTAGACCGGTTCTCGCCTTTACCAGCGGCCATAGTTTCAAACATGTCTCCCTACAACCAGCCATGGCAGCCTGAACACACGGAAATCACCCCCCCAATACAGAACATTAAAATCGAGATTTTTTCTAGTTCTGTTGCTTCTGCTACATTTCAGCTTGAAAACGAAACCGAGAATTACAAACGGGAAGTGGATACATACAATTCAGCACCAGAGACATCATTACTCACGGGCGATGATTCAACGACTAGAATATTTGCACAGGAGAATTTGCTATCTTCGCCGCCAAGCTCACCAGTTGTTCCATTAGCGGCTATTAGCAAGGGTGATTATAGGAGTTCAGAGTCAAAAAGTCCCTCGCCTGTTGCAACGGTTGGGAATCCCGGCGTAACTGTTGAAAACGAGGGCTCTGTGAATAACGTAAATAATGGGGAGTCATTATCTATTAAGGAGGAGGCTTCGAGGAGAGCTAGTAATGTATGGGATAGAGATTTGGCCGCAGATATGGTAAGTTTTTATTCCGCATTTTATTTAATACTGCGATTTAATTGCTAATGGTTTGCTTAGGCATCTCTGTCTGAGGAATGTGAAGAGGAAGATGCGGTGTTGCTTTGTTAAAGTCTATATTTCTTCCTTTCTCCTTTTGTTTAAACGGATCTGTATTTTGGTAGGCATGTCCTGGGGTTCTTTCTTTCTTTCTTTCTTTACCTATAAATATGGGATCATTGGGTTTACTATCAGCGTCCATTTACGGCATTGTTTATGTTTCATTTTCAATTATTCTCGTTTCTATTTCATAGGATGCATTGCACTCTGGACGGAGTTCGATGGGGTTAAAAGGCAAGCATGGGAGACGAAAAGAAAGAGGAATGTGTAAATGTCCACAGTATGATCATAGCTCTCGTTTCTCCTCAAATCTAACAGTGTAAATTATAGAATCTCAATTGTCTACTAAAATCTAAATGCTTGACCTGCCAAGATCACTTGCATCTATCAGAATCCATGACCCTAATAAAGATGAGTCATGCCTTCTTGGCAGAAATCAAGAGAGGTCTAAAGGCAACATTCTCAACATCGCCCATAGGTAACCTAACACATAGGTATCCTGAGAATTTCACATTTCTCACCAGCAAACAACCAACCACAAACATTTCCCATCCGCAAATATGGCGCGCTACGATTCACGTTCACGTTCACCCGACTCAAAACGAACCAGACGAGGCGACGACCGCTACGAACCCCGAGGTGGGCGCGTCAGAAGTCGCAGTCGTGAGGTACGTCCCCAGCAACCGCATGTTGGCGGACGCAGTGAGATTGATACTGGAGCACAGAGACGAGACCGGGATTACAGGGACCGAGAACGGGACCGTGATAGAAGAAGAGATAGGAGTATTGATCGCCGGAGGAGAGGCGACGATTATTACGATGCGAGGGAAGAGAGGGCTAGGGGCGTTAGTGCGAGAGATAGAGATGAATGGGATAGGAGAGATAGGTCTCCAAGATTGAGAGACCGGGACAGGAAACGTTCAAGGAGCAGAGATACCAGTAGGGAACGTCTAAGGAGAGAAAGAGAGAGAGATACGAGACGGGGAGATCGGGATGAAGACCCTAGGAGGCCTTTAAGAGCAAAAGAGGTGAGAATGTTCTTGCGAAATAATAGTGATTATACTGACTCTGGACAGCCTACACCCCCGCCGGCTGTAATGAGCGACGAAGAGAAGATTCGACAGCGTAAAGAGCGTCTTGAAGCTTGGAAGCGCAAAAGGGCCGAGGAGGAAGAGGCGAAAAAAAACGCATCTCCTGCTGCCATCTTGTCTTCGTTGGAAAGACAGCCTGTGTCTGCTGAGGTTGTTCCTGTTGCTGTGCCTGCCACTGTCACCTCTTCAGCGTCTGTGAAGATAGCTGCGTCTCCTAAGGTTGCTGCGACACCCACATCCTCAACTTCCGCCTCCACCTCTTCCGCTGCCCGTCCAAAAGCTGACAAAGATTCACTAGTTGCCATCAGCTCGTCTATTGGTATGTCTACTCTCTATTCCTTGTCTTTTGCGGTAGGGCACGTTAACAGTATATATAGGCACTATAAATGGCTCCGCGCTACCAACGAACCGCCCGGTATCTACCTTTGGCTTTGGCGCAGCTACTAAGAAAGTTGCGCCCCAGAAGGGTAAACGGGCGCTAGCTTTCGGTGATGAGGAATCTTCTAGGAAGAAGCTTGAACGTTTGCCCTCGCCCATTCCTGATGCTGGGACGGATGGTGTAGGTGCAGAAGATGTAGACAATGACACCGAAATGCAGGATACCACTGAGGAGGAAGCTGCCGCCGCTGCAAGGGCCGCCGCTGCCCAGCGAAGTGAGCGCATCGAAGCGGAATCCGCAGAAGCAATGCAATTGGACCAGGAAGTAAAGGCAGCCGCTATAGCGGAACAAGCTCCAATCGAAGAGGATGAAGAGGCTGACCCGCTTGATGCATTCATGGCCGGAATTGGTACCTCAATGGCCACCGCAGAGAAAAAGACGAGCGATGCCAAAGCACCTGCAAGTCAGGATGGAACTTTGTTCGATGACGATGCTATAGATTTGGTTTCAGCAGAGGCAGACCCAGATGATATTCTGGCGATGGCAGCAAAGATGAAAAAGAAGAAGGAACTCCCAGCGGTTGATCATTCCAAGGTCAACTATGAAACATTCCGTAAAAACTTTTATGTCGAGCCAGCCGATTTGGCAGAATTGACAGAACAAGAGGTCGATGAGCTACGTCTTGAACTAGATGCGATCAAGATTCGGGGACAGGACTGTCCAAAGCCAGTGCAGAAATGGAGCCAGTGTGGACTACCAAGTCAAAGTTTAGGAGTCATTCAGCAGCTTGGCTATGATAAACCCACCAGTATTCAGGCGCAGGCTATTCCGGCAATCATGTCGGGAAGGAATGTTATTGGTGTCGCAAAGACTGGCTCAGGGAAGACTATAGCATTTTTATTGCCCATGTTTAGGCATATCAAGGACCAGAGACCGATTGAATCTCAGGAAGGACCGATTTCACTGATTATGACACCAACGCGAGAGCTAGCTGTGCAAATTTTCAAGGAATGCAAGCCGTTTTTAAAGGCTTTGAATTTAAGAGTAAGCTAATCAGGACACATTCATTATCTTGAATTTATTGCTGACTTTTAATAGGCTGTATGTGCCTATGGTGGTTCACCTATTAAAGATCAGATTGCCGACCTTAAACGTGGAGCAGAAATAATTGTGTGCACGCCTGGCAGAATGATTGATCTTCTTGCTGCAAACTCGGGCCGTGTTACAAACCTAAAACGAGTCACATATATTGTCCTCGATGAAGCTGATCGAATGTTCGATATGGGTTTCGAACCCCAAGTTATGAAGGTGATCAGTAATATCCGTCCAGACAGACAAACTGTGCTCTTCTCTGCAACATTCCCCCGCCAGGTAAGTGCCCTATCCCCGGTTTACAATCAAATAAGCAGATATTTTTAACACTGCGCAGATGGAAGCCCTGGCCCGAAAGATCCTACAACGCCCTGTGGAAATCACAGTTGGTGCGCGTTCGACTGTTGCCTCTGAGGTCACTCAAATCGTCGAGATTCGAAATGACGATACAAAATTCCATCGTTTACTTGAGTTGCTCGGTGAACTATATGATACCGATGATGATGCACGTACTTTGATTTTTGTGGATCGCCAGGAATCAGCTGACACTTTGCTTCGTGACCTGATGCGCCGTGGATACCCATGCATGTCTATTCACGGAGGGAAAGACCAAATCGATAGAGACTCAACAATCATTGATTTCAAGAATGGTGTTGTACCAGTTCTTGTTGCCACTTCAGTTGCTGCGAGAGGTCTTGATGTGAAACAGTTGAAGTTGGTGGTAAACTATGATTGCCCAAATCACATGGAGGATTATGTGCATAGAGTCGGAAGAACAGGGAGGGCAGGGATGCTGGGGACTGCCGTGACATTCATTACTGAAGACCAGGATAGATACGCAGTAGATATCTCAAAGGCACTGAAACAGAGCGGACAGAAAGTACCGGAACCAGTACAGAAGCTCGTTGATGGTATTTATTCTGTCGAAGTATTTATTTTGTACAATTGCTAACCTTATTTTAGCGTTTAATGAGAAGGTCAAAGCTGGTAAAGAAAAAGCTAGCGGATCAGGATTTGGAGGGAAAGGCTTGGAGCGCCTCGACCAGGAACGCGACTTGGCGAGAAGAAGAGAAAGGAAGCAATTCGCAGCGGAAGATGGTGACGAAGTAGTTGAAGACGCTGCCGCTGTTGATCCTGAAGATGTTGTTTCAAAGGCGGCGACATCTGTCACGGCTACCAAGAAAACGCAGGAACTTGGAGTAGGAGGCCCACTTGATGCCAAGATTGTTGTCATCAAACGATCTACTGCTACTCACAGCCCGGCTTCGGGCACAGATGCCCTAGACCGCGTCAAACAGGCTACATCAGCAATCCATTCTCGTCTTAATAAGACCGGGCAGCTTCGTACTGGTGTCCCTATTGATAATAAGGGGCCCGATGCTGGAGCATACCACGCCACTTTAGAAATTAATGACTTTCCCCGTAAGCTTATAAGTCTTATTATTTTATCCTTCCAAGCCCGTTGGAATCCGCTAATTGAATAAATAGAAAAAGCAAGATGGGCAGTCACCAATAGGACCAATATTGCCAAAGTTTTGGAAGCAACTGGAACATCCATCACGACCAAAGGTTCTTACTATCCAGCCGGAAAGACACCACAGCCTGGCCAAGATCCAAAATTGTATATCCTTGTGGAAGGTGATACCGAACTTGTGGTGACAAATGCTATGAGAGAACTTAAGAGGCTGCTCGCAGATGGAACTCTTGCCGCCGTAGATAGTGAGAATAGGGCGCCTGCCAGCTCAAGATATAGCGTATTGTAAATTTAAGATAGGGTTAGGTGTTGCACTGATCTGGTCTGGAATGTGAGGGCGATTAGTTAGTCAGTACACAATTGGAGTAATGTTAGATGGTATACGGATTGTTAATAGATCAGTGGATTCCATGATGTGATTATTGAGCTTTCCACTAGTTGTGCCTAAATTCGATCTCCAAGGTGATGCAATTCCGTGTGATGAACCATGACTCAGATAAAGGTTGCCAAGACACCCCGCGTTTCGGATAGGGAACATCTGAATAACAAAAACAACCCCGCTCCCACAATTTTGTACTCATCTCCTGATAGGCAAAACAGACATCATGGATAAAGCAGCTGGGCTCGTCGAGGGCATCAAGAATGTTACTCTTGGGGGAGAGGCCGCGGCCCCCGAGGCCAAACCTACGAGCGTCAAACCTAAAGGCGAAAAGAAGGCAAAGAAGGCTGCAGCGAAGGGTCCTGTCGACGCTACACCATTGGAGGTTTGACGCCAAATTTTTAGAAATTCGACTTCGTAGCTCTTGCTGACCACCTCTCTCTTTTCTCATAGCTTGAGCCTGCGCCGGAATTCATTCCCCATAGAATCCAACTTTTTGAGAAGCTCAAGGCCGAATACGACGCTGAAATTGCTGGTATGGGGTTCGCATCTTATGTTTATGTTTCGTTCGTCCTCTGACCTCGCTTTTTCTATAGCAAAACCCCGTGAGGAGATCACGGTTACTTTGCCTAACGGTTCCGTCATCGTGGGAAAATCATGGGAAACCACCCCTGCAGAAATCGCACGAAACATAGCCAAGAGCCTTTTCGAGAAGACTGTGATTTCTAGAGTTGATGGTCAATTGTGGGATATTGAAAGACCCTTGGAGAAATCATGTTCTTTGGAATTGCTTGACTTTGAAAACCCAGAAGGTTTGTTTGTCCTCTAAGCTGTGACTCACCACATCGTGATATAAAAAACTAATTTATTACAATAGGAAAGCGCGTCTTCTGGCACTCCTCTGCCCATGTTCTCGGTGAGGCTGCTGAGCGCAGGTTTGGATGCCATCTTTGTCTTGGCCCCCCGACAGACGACGGTTTCTTCTACGAGATGGGACTCGGCGAAGGCGAGGCTGTCACTGCTGCGGATTACAAGCCACTAGAAACCATTGCGCAGAAGGCCATCAAAGAGAAACAGCCGTTCGAGCGTTTGGTAGTTTCAAAGGAAAACTTGCTTGAAATGTTCAAGCACAACAAGTACAAGCAGGTCTTGATCGGGTCAAAGGTTCCGGATGGTACTAGTACTACTGTTTACAGGTGTGGACCTTTGATTGATCTTTGTGTTGGGCCCCACGTTCCACACACCGGTAGGATAAAGACCTTTCAGGTTATGAAGGTAAGTCTTACATGGGAGGTTACTTATATCCATATTCTCACACGTTTATATAGAACTCATCATCTTACTTCCTCGGCGATGCCGCGAATGACTCATTACAACGTATTTACGGTATCAGTTTCCCGGATAAGAAGCAGATGGATGAGCACAAGAAAATGTTAGAGGAGGCGGCCAAGCGCGACCATCGCAAGATTGGAAAAGAACAAGAGCTCTTCTTCTTCCACGAACTCTCCCCTGGGTCATGCTTCTTCCTTCCTCATGGTACAAGAATCTATAACACCTTGGTCGAATTTCTCCGTTCGGAGTACTGGAAGCGTGGTTATGAGGAAGTAATTACCCCGAATATGTATAACTCGAAGCTCTGGGAAACCAGTGGACATTGGCAGAACTACCAGGAGAACATGTTCACATTTGAAGTCGAGAAGGACAAGTTTGGTCTCAAGCCTATGAACTGCCCTGGGCATTGTTTGCTGTTTGGACACCGCGAGAGGAGTTACCGCGAACTCCCATGGCGGGTTGCGGATTTTGGAGTTATTCACCGTAATGAGTTCTCTGGCGCCCTTACCGGATTGACCAGAGTGAGAAGATTCCAGCAGGATGATACCCACATCTTCTGTACCGAGGATCAGGTTGGGCAGGAGATTCACGGACTTTTTGATTTCCTGAAGCATGTCTACGGGCTGCTTGGTTTTACTTTCAAGCTGAAACTTTCTACTCGTCCGGAGAAGTTCGTTGGTGATATCGCGACTTGGGATATGGCGGAAAACCAGTTGAAGACCGCTCTTCAGGAGTTCACTGCTGCTGGTGGGGGACAATGGGAACTTAACCCTGGTGATGGTGCTTTCTACGGCCCGAAAATTGACATTACCATCTCTGATGCTCTTCGCCGTGATCATCAATGTGCTACAATTCAACTCGACTTCCAGCTCCCGCAGAGGTTCAAGCTTGAGTACAACACCGGTGAGGTCGTCAAAGCAAAAGATGAGGCGGGCAATGAAGAAGTTTCGCATTACAAGAGGCCCGTCATGATCCATAGAGCCATCTTCGGAAGTGTTGAGCGTTTCATTGCTATTTTGACTGAGCACTTTGCAGGGAAGTGGCCTTTCTGGTTGAGTCCAAGGCAAATCCTCATTATCCCTGTTATGGCTGCTGCGAATGATTACGTCGTAGAGCTCCAGTCATTGTTCAGAGCTAAGCTTATGCATGTGGATATTGATGTTGGTCCGAACACAATGGCAAAGAAGATTAGAACTGGACAACTTCAGCAGTATAACTTCATCTTCGGTATGTCTTCTTCAATAATCACCTTTTCTTGGATTTCAAGGGACTAATAATTATCTAATATTAAAAATAGTTGTCGGCGCCACGGAAAGAGACACGAGGACAGTAAACATCAGAAACAGAGACGACCCAGAGACCCAAGCTAAGGGAGAGCTCATCCCAGTTGAAGAGGCTTTGGAGAAAATTTGCAAACTTAGAGATGAGAGGAGGGCTGTAAACTCTATTTAGATAGATCAAAGATATGCTCGTGAATAAATAAAAAATAGGTAAAGGTCTAATATGATCAAAGCCTTGTATCTCGTTCTAAAACAATCTTTTTGTCTGATCAAACAATTCCATAAACATGCCCATTTGCAATTGCACCAATAAGCCGAGAATCGCCCGAGTCCTCTACCGCCGCTCGCGACCCGGTTTGGCCCTTATGGGTGTCCGCATCGGATTCTCTAATCAATGTTTGATATTGTCAATACTGCTGTACAGAGATGCAGGAGTTTAATCGTATATATTTTGAACTTATCGTTAATTATATACAATCTGACAGCTCACATGCCTCTGCAAATTAAGCAACGCAAGCATCTCCGCATAATCCGACCTAGGAACTATTCTCTTATTCCACAATCCCACATTTAGAGAGAAGAAATCCGAGGCAGCAGCGAAAGCCTTCTTGTAGGATTCTAATAAATTGTTAGTTCAAAGTTATTATATTTAATGCCAATTTAGACTTACTATTATACTCAAATGTCCCTTGTGATTGAGCATACAAAATTAACGAGTTATCAATCAATCAATTGTGATTGAGCATTGTTATCTCGCGAGTGATTTTCTATGATTTATGTCGTGCAGATCAGGTGATGATAGGCTTGGCTATGCTATGACCAGGATTAGGGCTAGGGGAAGCAAGCATTTGGGTTACAGCTCCTCCCCCCTCAACATCATCACGAGAAGTTTAAGGCTACTATGACAATCTACTCCTTCTACATATTCGACCGGCACTGTGAGTCGCAAGGGCCTGTTCAAACTGTCTTTATCCTTTCGAGCTTCGAGCGCTACTGACCGCAAATCTATTCTGTTACAGGCGAGTGCATCTACATTAAACAATGGCACCAACGGGATAAGTTTCGGCCTACGTCTTCTGCTGGCCCTTCAGGGACAGACTCACCAGCTTCTCTCACGGGAGATGGCAAGCGCTCATCTGCTGGCTCTACCCTGTTGCGCAGCAACGATACGAACCCAAGCCGGCCCGGTGGACGGCTAAGCGTCCAGGATGATGCGAAATTGATATTTGGAGTCGTATTCTCGCTGCGGAATATGGTGCGGAAGCTCTCAGGACCGTTAGTCATTTGAGTTCTCTCGAGCCCTCCAATCAACCAGTACTGATCACTGTGGGTGGTAGCTAGCGAGGATTCTTTTATATCATATCGAACGGGCGCCTACAAGCTTCATTACTATGAAACACCAACAAACCTCAAGTTCGTGTTGTTGACGGACGTGAAGATGAACAACCTTCGGGTCGTGTTGCACCAGATATACGTGAATCTTTACGTTGAATTCGGTTCGTCCTCCTGCAAGAATGTGCTGTTGCGTGTTGAGATTAGCTAATTAGTTGGCGAACATGTAGTTGTCAAGAACCCTCTTTCTCGTAAGTTACCTCAAAGGTCAACCTCCCAATAAGCTGCTAATATCCCCTCAGCGGTTGAACATCATGGCGGAGAAGGTGTTGCTGTGGAACTTTTCGAGATGGGGTTAGACGGATTTATTGTGAGTACAACATACGTTTACAAAGTCCTCCCGAAGCCGCAGCTAATTTATTTAACCTGTACAGAGAACCATACAGGATTAAAATTGGATCAAACGATAAAAATGCCTTACTATTAATTTGTATTACGGATTGGCGCGATCGCTGGAAACAAATCGGATTTGCATTGGAGTTAACGGAGAAACTAGACTTTGACGCACCCCCTGGACAGTGCGGCTTTTACCTCTTCGTGCGGCTTTTTCTTGTGTGCGCATCCTGTTCGCTCTCCTGAGTAATCTCAAATGGTAGATTATGCTAGTAAGCTGGATTTGTGGCCTAGGACACACGCCTAAGGATTGAACTACGTCCCTTGATAGTCAAGTCAATAGACTCTTTAAATTATATTTAGATAAAATTTAGAGATTAAGTCAGGAAACCCCCTAACAAGTTCCAATCATTCCCATGGTCCCAAGAACTTGTGGCCTTTCGTCCTTATCCAAATCCTTGATATCCACACCACTAGCAATCAGTAACCGTGCCAACCCTTCGAACCCGTTATTCGTCGCAACTTGAAGCAAACTTGAACCCAATCTGCCTTTTTCATTGATATCTGCCCCTCTCTCCAGGAGGAATGAAACAGTTGCTTCCCGCCCTGACCTAACAGCCCAGAAAAGAGCACTTTCTCCACTGAGATCTTTTTGAGAGATATCAACGCCCATATCCAATAGCTGCTCAATTACTGCTCGATGACCGTAGAGCGCCGCCCAATGAATCGGAGATCCGATAAGGAAGCATGCGCCACCTTTTCCGTTCTCTAACAATAGCTTGACTAACGGCGCATATCCGCCCCGAACTGCCCAGGAGAGTTCTCTGTCCTCGATTGCGTTCTTATGAAGAAGTGGGGTGAGGAGACTCGCAAGACGGTGGTTTGTTTGGAGAAACGAATTGAGGTTATCAGACTCAAGGTCCCTGGAGATAACGAGGAGGAGTTCGTTGGGAAGTTGTAGTAATGACATTGCTTGTGTTCTTCTCCGCAGGCGTGAATGAAGCTTAAAGTCCCGTAAAACGTAAACGGGGGTGATTAGATACTTATACAAATTGTATCTCAAGCACCTTGGCTATGTTCCTATGGTACCTACGTGTCAATATGAGTCTTACCTTCTTTCGTGTGAAAATACTCGCGCGGCCGAGTTTCGACTTACTCACGTGACGCTATTTAGCAGGTTTTTGCGTTGCTCATAGGTCATGTGATTAGGTCGAAACTCGGCCGCGCGAGTAGGTAAGTAATCTGGAGATCTGGTAGATCATTGGTCGGTGACCTAGAGAGCGCTCGAGCTCCCCTCACCCGCCCAGGCCTTATCCTTATGCCTATCAACCGTGCAGGGATCCGAATCAGCGATCTCCAACTATCTGGCCCCGCAGGATCTATAGTAGCTTCAGGGTAACCTTCAATTCGCGAGTGTGCTTGGCGTCAACCTCAACCACAGACCATAGTGAATTACAGCGTGAACCCCCATAATACTCGAGTCCTTATACCCCTGGTAAGTTATATTTTACACATTCCACATGCGATCACCGGCTGACTGAGTGACTATGAAGCTTTTCGAAAAAGGCTAGCGACATATAACATCAAAAATGGCCGGTCCCGGAGGAGCTCACCACCCGATCCATATTCACCCAGTTCGCCCTCTCTATGCGATCTCAGCAAAGCTCCTGGGAGCCTCTATGTGGTTCTGGTTGATGTAAGAGCTCAAAAATCCACGATTCGGCTGGGTTGGTTCGCGAGGCGGGGTATTTGCGGATAAGGTTACCTGAAGCGCTAACGTAATGAACGTCTTTTAGGTACCGTGCAAAGAAAGATGGGGTAAATTCCACTTAATATCAAACTTAACATTGAGTATAGTACTAACTTCATCTACAGGCTGTTCTTCTAGGACTCAAGCACCCTTGGGATCACTAAATGTGACACAATGCGGAGCATTAAGGTATTTATATTTATAACAATTGCCCTCGAGTTCGACCTATGCTGATATCCCATGCTCGACACAGGAACCGTACTAGAACCTCACCATACATACAATGTATATAGATGGCAAAGAATTGCAACTAAACGTGACATAACATTCGTAAAAAGAGTGTACAAAGAACCATGTGAATCACGTGACCTGCAGCATATAGCGCCGTAACCGTAGCGCCTTGTTCATATCAACAAAAAACGGAGATATTAAACCGGTTTTGTGAACAAGTAATGGTAGACACCCCATGTATCACCCCCCTGCCATGCGAATAATTCGGCACATGCCTAGAGGCAATTAGTCAGTAAACGCTGCCGCTATCGTTTAGAAGTATATCGGACTACTATATTATAATACTTACCAGGTAAAAGACCTGCCAGCGGTAGAACCATTTATATTCCTCACCCGCTCCGTATGTCTTTGCCAAGGATGGCAACACCAAGCTTTTGCTTTTGTTCAAGTTCTTCAACCAGTCCTATAATTAACCAATGTAAGTTTCAAAAAATTAATCTGGTTATTGGATGAAAGGATGAAGACATACTTTAACGTCGGAATGGGTAAAAAAATAAAGCTTGCGGAAGGCTCAGGAGGCGCTTATATAAGCCTAAGATAAGGCTTTTATTTGATATAATCCTTTTTTGTAAATACGCCTACTGCAAGTAACTATAGGTGAAAAGCCTTATTTCGAAATAAGACTTTTTCCATATTTTAAGACTTATGCATTTTTTAAGGCTAATATAAGACTTTTTTCCAGATAAGATTATGTCCTTGGTGGTTCAAAAAAGTAAAAGAGAGGATTTGAACCTAGAGCATTGTAGGTAGAATGTACCTCATGCTACCCACTAAGCTATGGGAGAACTGAAATTTCTTTGCTAGAGGTAATATATAGGCAGGATAGCCGATGAAATGCTAGTAAAATCGGAAATTACAAATCTTATATAAACCTTATTTGCCGAAAAAGTCTTATTTGATAAAAAGACTTATCTGGTATAAAGGCTTAAATTATTTCACAACACTTAAACTAAATTAATGTGTATAGAGACCTAAAGATGTATATAATCCTTTTTTTCGGCAAATGATTACAAAAATTTAGGCCTTATATGGAGAAAAGGCTAAGGACACAATTTTTCGTCAAAAAACGCTCAAACATGCCTTATTTTGGCGATAAGCCTACTGCAAGCCTTATTATTTTACGCATTTCGACGGTAATGTACCTCGCAGGTCCTGGCATAATGATTGCCATTCACATACCACTGATTCTCAATATTCAAATCCCGTTGAAAATAGAGAAGTAGGTCTGCCGAAGGCATATTTCCATTATTAAAGAAGTGCTGTCCCATCCAGCCATCACTCCCACACTCATACGGAAACTCCCTATGAGCAAATATATGCACAAAATGCTTTCCGAGAGGCTTCAGCCATCGATTTACTTTCCCCATGAGCTTTTCATAGTTCTTCATGTGTTCAAACATCTCTATGGAGACTACTCTGTCGAAAGAAGCTGGGTCAAATTCATGAACAGCCACATTTGCTGTGACGATAGTCAAATTCATGATTCCTTGCCTCTTCGCTTCGGCGTCGATATACTCCTTCTGCGTCCGGCTATTTGAAAGCCCAGTAACCTCGGACCCAGGGAATTTCTTTGCGAAGTAAAGTGAACATGACCCCTATCCACATCCTATATCGAGGATTGATTGTCCATCCGACAATTGGGCACGTTCAACATATTTTTCGAGCATGAAAACCTCGGCTTCATCTAGGGTCGTTGAAAGGGTGGGATAGTAACACGCAGAATACTTCATCCGCTTTCCAAGGGTATGCTCAAAGACCATGGTGTCTACTTCATAGTGCTCCTTGTTTGCAATCTCAACGTTTTCGGCAATGGGGCGGGAGCGTAGAGAGTCGATAAGTGCCATCTTTGCAGAAGAAGCTTCCTCAAGGGATCCACCGGCAATGCTATTGAGTCGGTCTTTAAGCTCAATGCGGATACCCTTTCTGTAAAAGATAATCAGTTAATGAGTAATTACATGTGTTTGATAGATTGTACATGCCTGATTACTAGTTCTGGAAAGTAGCCATTATCGAGAAGCCATTCAGTAGTCATTATTGGAGGTTGTTGATATATATAGGTGCTTCGTGTGAGTACAACGAATTGTTTTTTTTTTTAAAAAAAGAAAATGTTGTAATGCTTTTATTCACTTCACGAAACGGAGCATTTGCTTTAAATATAGTCCTACATACATGTATGTAGTACACATCCAAGGTTACACTCACATACAGGGGGTTATATGAACCTTCGATCCCAGGGCCCGATGACGTTAACAATTCTGCAGAACGATCATGATTCCCATTAGGTCCAAGTATCTTTCCAGCCCAAACTGCCCAATCCGCCTTATTAAATAATGTAGGTATAATTAGGCTCGTACCTAGCCCCCCTACGGTGAGTAGCGAGCTGCTCGTAGGGGATGGGTACTATAGTACTAGTACATAATGTATGAGGATTCACCCCGGGGCGAGACTATTCCGAGCAGACCGTAAAGTTTAACGAAATGTACCTCATACATGTATAGAGTATAGACTGCATGCTGTTGAGCGTCTGCATCTGAAGTCTCAGGAGTCACAATCTTACCAGGAAAGTCAAGAATCGGAGCTCGTTGGTAGCACTATCCTAGGCTAGTTTTAATAATTTACAGGGGGGTGATGATTGAGTCTTGGAACCAGACTCACACGTATTAGGCGAATTATGTACTCAATCCTAGAGTGAACTCGGACTAAAGTTAGGAAAGATACATGTATTGTATGCCTGTTAAACCCTAAACCTGGAGTATTAACCTACATGTAACTACTAGTACTTATTTATTCCATCATCTAACACAAATTTTCCTTTGTCCATAACTACATGTAATTCTAATACTGCCAAAGCCCAAACCAAGACAAAAGTACCAAACAAATACAGACACAGATCTAACACCAGCAATAAAGAGAAATATTTAAAAGACAATCTAACTTATCCCCTTAAGTTCTTTAACTATAGAAACATTCCTCAAATACGCATTTCTTGTTCAAGGAGTTTGTATAACTTCCTCTTTTTACTCTTAGGGCTCAGCGTTAACTTGACCTTCCCGATGGCCCTAGCAAGTTGTGGGAGAACATAATGTTCCAAGAAGTATGATGCCACAAAACCTGCTGCTGCAATACCGACCAAGAAGAACTTGAACGACGTTGCCGTTTCGGTGAGCTGCATCAACCTCGAAAGCCAATCTACTGGGTTTACAAGAAGGTAGGTAGCGAATAGAGCTGTTACTGTTACGGTGAGGACGAAGGGAACTGTAAAAAATTAGAAGATGGCTAACAGGTTTTTGACGAGACCGAACTTACGGTTGTTTTGTATTCGTTGACGGAATGGCGGCCCGACACTAAGGATGATACCTGCGAAGATATACTGATAACATGATACTAGGAAAAGAGTGGTATTCTCGGAGTTGATGATGTTTGATTCATTATCATCAATTACCGGAGGTATATACCAACTTTGCCTCTTAACAACCTTAAAGCAAATAAATTGTAGTAAGAATGCTAGAGCAATCTGGCCTAGCAGAGGTGTGAGAACCTTTCTAGACACAAGACTCGCTGTTGGTCTCTTAGGACAAAGGACAGGGTAGGGTCCGCTCCATCCCACTGTGGTTCATAATAGTTAGTAACGACGAAAAGATACAAGGGCGGTTCAACTTACTAAAGACAGCGATAGGAAGAATCAAAAAAAGATCAATAAATAAAAATTGGAAATCCCCAAGATTAGAAGCAGACTTGTAAAGAATACTGACGGATGTAAACTGAATAGCAGAATACAAACTCATGTATTTGAAACAACTGAAGCTTGTAACCAACGCCGCTCTCCCCTCTCTAATGACCTCAGGAACGCAGGAGATATCAAAAACTCTGCTTGTAAAAGGAGCTGCAACGGATGCTTCGGCCTCAGACAGAGAGATCCCAACATCTGCAGCCTTTAATGCACCACAATCATTCGCTCCGTCGCCACAGAATCCAACGCAATAGTCGATACTTTGAAGCTTCTCAACGAGTTCGTGTTTTTCATCTGGTGACATACGTGCAAATACTTGTCCACGCACAAGCATCTATTTACAAGTTAGAATATTTCAATCTTATCTGAATTATGGTAATTCGAAAACTCACGCGATGAAGGACTTCCTGCGGGGCGTAGTCAATAACCCATCTGAAGACCTCGCCGCTGACCGCTAACGAATAACCTCGGAAGTTACTGATCTGGTATGGACCAGAGACGTCTTGATCTGTTGATAGAGGTGAAGGCATAAGTGTGTGCTCATCAAGTGTATAGATCCTGTTATCGACGCTCTCCCATCGTAACCTCCCGTGCGGATCTCGTGCATCTCCCTCGATGAAATGCGGGACGAATATGTGTGTCTCCTTGTCTACTAGATTGCACTCCCTCGCAACGCTAATAGCTGTTAAAATATTGTCACCAGTGCACATAACCTTGCGGATAATTGCCTCTCTCAACTCTTCGATAACCCCCGTGGTCTGAGGCTTTAGCTTATTCTCGAAAATGATGAACCCAACAAAATCAAGGTCTTTCTCAGCATCTGTTCGCTTCATCTTCTGGGCCTTGATCCAGCTAAGATTTTCAATGTGTTTAGTAGCACACGCTATAACACGGTATCCGCGATGCGTATAAAATGATAAAAGCTCCTCGTAATCAGGGGGGACTATGGAAGGTCAATTAATACACAGAAAACAATATTAGATAAAGATTGAATTACTGACAGCTCTCAGGGCGACATATTTCTTTCATGCATTCTGGGGCACCTTTGAGGTAAACGTTACCACCGGAAGCTCGGAATTGTTTAACAACAACACTAGTACGACGCAGCTGTGAAACAAACTCGAATTGTTTGAATATTCCTAGCTCCAATGGGGAATTCTTCAATAAATTAGCCTAGAAAATTATGGTTGTTGGCGGTGAGTTTACCTGGCCGGTCAATTCGTCGTGGAATTCGCCACCAGCACTTATCTCCTTCCCATGCGGTGGTCGAACTACTGGGGGCGAAATCCCAAAGGCCGTGCTATCATGCCCATTGCCCTCATCTGCGCCGCGTTTTTTGCCTTCTCCCTCTTGAAAGGACCACCCTGTGAATTCAAACATTTTTAAATCAAGTGGATCTCCGAGAAGCTCGTCGTCCACAAGCCTTAACGAATGACAGGTTGTCATGGTGTAAAGAACTCCCTCATGGGTTTTGAGATCCGCTGTGGGATCACGCTCAAATGGCCCAGGAAGAAGAGACGGCGCATCCTTCAAAAGTTCAGAGAAACTGGAAATTATAAGTATTAATATTACTCGTAATGGATGATAGATCGTACGTATTATTATGTTTGTCAACAACACGTACACCAAGTACGTCCAACCCATCTTCTGTTAAGGTCCCAGTTTTATCGAAACATACGACATCTAATTTTCCGCCAACGTTGACCCTCTGTGGGCTGATGCAAAAAATCTTCTTCTTCCTCAGCCGTGAAAGTGCAAAGTTTGTCCCGATAGTAAGTGTAGCTGGCAACGCAGGAGGAACCACAATAGTGATGAGATCCAAAGCCCTGACAACTACCAAGTGCCATGCAAGCTATTTACTATTAGCATATTGTGGCTTAGACTGAAACTACGCATCTACTTACGCCGAGATGAACGAAATTTATAAAAGATACCACGAACCCACAAGCGGCAATGAGACCCATCACCGCAATGTAGTAGAATGAATCGCGATAAAACTTGAACCCTGAAGGCTTTGGGAAAAGCATCGAACGAACCAAGGCACCTTTGGTCGTGTTGAATCCCGTTCTGACAACTAATGCAAGACCCACAGCTTCTTCTTCAGCCCCATCCTGGGGTCTCCGGGCACGTACAATTTTTGTCCCACAAAACAAAAAATGACGGGCTACCTCAGGGAGAATTGAGGATGATGCTAGATTTAATAATCCAAGCGACTCATTTGTACAAGGAACCTTGGAGACGGGTACAGATTCACCGGTCAACATGCTCTCATTCACAATGGCATCACCTGCAAGAAGTATACTGTCGCATGGGAATAAAGATAGTGAAGGATCGGTGATTTCGTAAACATCACCGGGAACCAGGTCCTCTGAAGAGACATAACGCCCTAGAGAAATAAGCAAGAGGCGATGAATATGGACTATCAAGACTTACAAAATCCGTTTCTCAACACACGAACATCACACACAAAGCGAGATATCTCGCGTAACCTACGCATAGTCTATAAAATAAGTAATGCGTGGGGTAAAACCCATTCTCGAAAAACTCACCGATTTTGTTTCGAGCAGGGTGCTGGTGATACTGAAAGCCGATATGAGGAATATACAGGCGGCGTAATAGTAGTAATCATCAATTGACCAGAGAACCAAACTAGCAATTTGAAAAACGTAAAAAGGATGGAAGGCCTGAAGAAGATTTGTTCATCAGTTTTTACACCCCTCAAATCACAAGGCCTCTCAACTCAAGCAAGGCCGACGAACCTCGTCCAACAAAAGTTGCATAACAGTTTTTTCTTCTATATCTATAACATTTGACCCAAAAACCAAATTCCGCTGCTCTTTCTCATCACCATCAATACCAGACCGAACAGCCCTTACATCGACCCAGTTTGGATCCTTCCAGCTATTATTAAGCATGAATTTGTCCTGTAATGGGTGATAAATAAACCTGATATAACGATAATCCAAACAACGAAGGGAGTTGATCACTGGATCGTCATCCTCATCTGGATTAAACGGTATGGCAGAAGACTTCTCATGGGCTCCAAAGATCGTAGAGAGAGGCTGACCGTAACGGCGTATTTGAATATTTTGGACGCTTAGTTCGTTCCATTGATTTTCAACAACAACCCAATCACATTCTCGGACTGTCGATGGTTTCCCTACCAGCCGTATACGCCAGCGAGGAATCCACCGTAGTAAAAGCCAGCCGATACCTAGAGTGATTGTTGATATAGCCAAGTATAGCACATATCCCAATCGACTTGTAGTAAATCCGGCGACTACAATGGTCAGATCTTCTGT